CGCCGGCGGGCACCGGAGGCTCCGCGCCGGGCCAGGGCGCGCTGCCCGGGCAGCCCTCACACGGCAGCTGTTCTTCCCTAAGCACCAACATTGCCGCCTTTCGCGCTGGGAAACACCCTTCGACAATCAAAACCGAACGGGAAAATAATAATAATAAAAAAAGTCTGCATGATGTTGAGACGAGATTTTTTGCAGATTTCCCTGTAAGGACTTGACCTGGAGCAATTAAAGCGCAGACTATGAGTCAGCATGTTTCGTCACAATGCAAACATTTCTCTGTCCTCACGGAGTGCAGTTTCCAGATGGCAGCCCAAATTTATCTCCTCCTTACAAACACAGTGCAAGCCTTCTAAAGTTACACTTCGTATTTTGCAAATCAAATGTGCATTATCCATAAAAAGGGCGTGCAACTGTCTGGAGAATAAGCTATCAGCCCTCTGGACCTGGTAGAGCCAGGAGTGCACCCGTTTATCAATCATTTAACGTAAATGTGTGCCTGTGTGACATTTAGAGAGATGAACTGCAGAATGTCTCTATGGAAACAATTTAGCTGTAATGCGTCCAAGAGGAACAACATCCCATGCAATAATCACAAGTGTAGCCTGGGAAACCAGAAGTGCTTTTTATTTTAAAGGTAATGCAAGCCTACATGCAACATTATTAAGAAAAAAAAAGAGGTTAAGAATTATGTTAATCTTTTACATTGACCTGCCTGCACATAGAAAGCCAGAACATGCACACTGAGAAGCCAAGCTTGAAACAACATAATTCCAAGCATCCAGGGATAAAGAAAGCTGTTGAGCAAAATGTTTTGACCAAAAAAATCCTGCTTCTGCATTAATTTGGAAGAGTGGATGGATCTCTGACGAGCCATAAGAAATCACTGCCAATTACTTTCTCTCTCCCACTTGAACTGATACTCACCTGTTCCTCACTGGTTCATCTATTCCTCACCATTTCTTCAAACTGTGCTGGCTTTGAAGCACTGTTTCTCTCATTAGCACAGTAGCTGAAATGACACTGATGCTACAAATGAAAAACATCAAATATGGGCAGATTCTGCTTCCCTGATTTGTGCTGCTTGGCTTCACTGAGATCATAGGTTGTTGGAGATCAAAAGTAAATGGGAAAGGCCATCATCCATGGATACACAGCATTTACTAAAACGGAAAATCAGCAACATTTGTATTTCAGAGTATAGCAAATGTCCATTTAAAGAGCATCTTTTGATGCAAAATGCTCTACAAGCCAGCAAAATTTTTTTTTCTGAATCCCAGCAACTTCTGCAGTTGTAACTACAGGGGGAAGAAGCGAATTGAGACATTTCAGAAAACTAACTAAATAAGCATCTTTTAATCCCTTATCTCTTAAAATTGAAATGACTGAGTAGAGCAAGAAGGAAGGGTTAAATTAAGAAACAGGAGGTGTATTAAAAATACAAACCTTACTTGTAAAAATTGACACCCAATCTGGCATTTTGGAAACACACTAGCTGCTAGGTGGCTTTTTGCATTAATAATAACACTGTGTCACTGTATTATGACAAATGGTTCTATGTTTTTTTTTTGTTATACTCCATGTATGGTTTTCAATATCCCAAAAGGCTGTACTAAGTCTTGATTAAAGAAGGGAGGTTACCTGTGAGGGAAGTTGTTGAAAAGGAGTATGAATAATAATTTAGTGAGGAGGAAGAAAGTGTACTTAGTAGGATTAAGAAGGATAAGAAGGTGAAAGGCTTTACGAAATTGTAAACCCTGCAATCAGGTGGTTTCGAGAACTTCCTGAGCAGTTTTTGTTATTTCCTAAATAGTGGCTTACTAAATGGCTTCCCACCTTCTGAGATTTGAAAATGGAACATTTAAGTAACAGGATGGTGTTTTTTGAGGTTACCAGCACCTGAGTCAGAACACAGGATCTTATAACTGCTGGTCATTGGCTCAGTCCAGCTGTGTCCTGCAGAAGGATGCTGCTGCTCAGGGGTGCTGCTCATACTGCCCACAGGTTGGCCAGAGACTGCCTACTAGGAAGGCCTGGAAGCAGTGCTGGCTACCAGCTGCTCCAGTCTGTAGCTTGTCCAGCACCACCAGCAGCACCCTGGGTGGCAGTCCTTCCTGCAAATACAAGGTGGTCTGGTTTCTTCTACAAATACAGTACAAGTAGAGGTGAATTTCGAAAGTTAAACAAAGAAAATAATTGCACATCTGTAATTCACTTACACATTTACATTTTTGAAGCTATACCTAGGAATGACAAGGACTAGAAAAATACCTCTTGAATTCCTCTCTTCCATTCATTGCCATTCTACCATATTAATTTTTATATTCCTGTATTCCTAAACTTAGGAACAGATAGCACTGACTATGAAATATGGGTATATAAAGAAATAACATGAAAAGCTGAGTTTAATGTATGCATATGGCAGTAACACAAATATAGTTTTAAGCAACAATTGAACATAGAATCTAACTGACATTACAGGCTAAAAATAGGTAGGCAGAGTGCAATAACCTAGGGCAAAATTTGGTCAGACATCTAGCATTGCTCAGTGTATTCTTTCAGAAAATTGGTCTTGAGTATTTTATGACTGCAGAAGTCCCTCAGCTCAGTTATGTGCTTTAGTGCCTTCCTGCAGCTTTGGGTTAGTTATGATTCTAGAAAGAAGAATACTATCCACCTGAACAACAAATGTTTTCTTTGTCTTTCCTGAAACAAAGAAATATTTGTTTCCCAGACAAGACCACAGCCATTCCAGCCTTAATTCTGAAATCTAGTAGGGCACTGGAGCTGTATGCCACAAGAAATGAAAAAAAATAATGTCTTGATATGTTACCTTTTAAGGTCCAAAACATGAGGCAAATATCTGCCAAATTAACAGGATATCAAATCCTGTTTAATTTAATTACTACTACCATCCATTTCAAAGAAAGTAAGGTGCAACATTTAAAGAATGAGATCTCCTTTCTCAACATTAAAAAATAATGGAAATATTGCTCTCATCCTGTTTAGAAAGCTTCAAAAAACTTCAGCAGTCATCACTCTACATCAGTGAGTACACTCTGTTTTGATGTCAAGGATATAAATTAAATGAGAAGTTAAGAACAATTCTTCATATTCTTTAATTGGTCCCTCCAGATACCTTTAGAGTGTTGCAGTAGGAAGATTATATAGGTTCCAAACTTTAAACTTAAGAGAAATGTGTTGGGTGGGAAAAAAATATGAAACAAAAAAAAAGAAAGAAAAAAAGTAAAAAGAAGAAAGCTGAGAGCTGTTAGTAAGTGGAATGGTCTGTGTTTTGGCACTGATTGATTGTAAAGGGCAGGTAACACCGCTGTCTACATCCAAGAACTGGACATTCAAAAACAACTGCTGCAGTGTGGTACATTTCCAACTCAAGTAATGCTGTGCCATTAGCAAAACAAGGTAAACCCTCCCCCCCCCCCCCCCCATTATTCTAAGATATTTGGAAAAAATATAGTGGAATAAAACCTTCATGCTGCATTATTTGCTATCAAAACCAGTGATATGTCAAAACAGAATCCAGGACATGTAATTAAAAGACCAGTTTACATTATTTATCTTTAAAGGGGTGAGCCTATCTTAGGCATTTCTTTTTCTTTTTTTCCTGTGTATGTGTAAATATGTGCTATGGGTGAAATACTGCTTTTAGGCTGCAATATCCAGTTACCTTTATTTAGCCACATAACTTTTTCTGATAGCTTGCACTCACTTTATACCATTATTTAATAGGATATACGAGGCTGTTCTCATTGTGAGCTGTGTGTGGTGTCTGTTGGTCAAATGGGCTGCAAAGCTGATATCTCTCACTAATGACCCTTCATCTTTCAGAGGGACCCTCAAGCACCTAAGACTGATCTCAATGTCCATCTCTGGCAACTTCTTTAAAGTATAAAAAATGTTAAGCACTGGTAACCACATCTTTACTGACTTCATTGGTACACTTGCCTGGAGCTTTTTGAATTAATCTTCTTTGTGATATGTCCATTCAGTCAAATTTGAACTAAAAAACAACCCACCAAACTTGAGTGTGCAGAGAGATTTTTCAGAATTCCTATCATTAGATTTGGAAAATGCAGGTGATATGAAGGCTCTTCTCCTGGTAGCAGGCACAGATCCTGAAATCTTAACTCGATAGTACACATTTGGAAAAAAAAAGTGATGGCAAGTGAAAAAATCCACTCACAAAGTTTATACATTCAGATTGGACCCATGTGAAACCAATTTCTTAACTATTCCCCTTTCTATTAATTATAGAGAAAATAATATTTCCATTAAGATTGATAAATTACAGCAAACATTTTAATATTTTTTACTTTGAGTAAGTGAGGAGTCAGAAGTCAGAGCTTTGCCAGTCTCACTGTTAGCACCGTGCAAGCCCTTAACCTCCTCTGTCTCGACTTTTCCATCTGTATGGTGACTATGCTGTGACTCAGTTAGGGAAGCACAAATAGAAAAGACTCCTGAGCTGCTTAATAGCATATTAATAGCATTTTTAAAACTACTGTTTTTCATTTCCCACCACAAGATCATATGATTCTCAAGTGTTCTAAAATTCAGAGGGACATTTTATTTTCAATTTTTAAAAAATGAAAAATGGGAATGTCTTCAGTACATTTGCATGCAGTGCACTAGAGGGCTCTCAGGAGTTAGAAATGGATGGAATGCACTTTTGGAAGGCACAGACTTTACAGGACTTTTCATTACAGAATTTAAAATAGAAGTTGCTGGGTGTGTTGCTTTTTTTTAATAACGTGAAGTTCATGTAAGTTTATAGCAGTTCATATGCAAACCACCTCTCAGTACAGTTAGCTACCAAAGAGTATTTAGCTTGCAATGAAATACCCAAATGTGAACCATACTTAAAAACTCTGTACTAGAATACTTTGAGAATGTCAGCTTTTACTAAGTTGCTCTTACTAAGCTAAGGAGTTTACCAGAATGATGTATCAAGCTGAATAGGTAAGAGATTTTCTATTTTTATAACAATATATATATACACACAACATGCACTTATTCTGTCTTTATTTCTTTTAAAAGATATATATATATAAGCCACTGTAATTTTATTTGAAAAAGTATAGATAGATCTTATTTATGGCCTCACAAGGGTGACAAAGAACTAACTTTCATATTTAATGTATGTTTATGAGTGTGAACTGTATTCATATTCAAGTAGGGAAATCTGGCATTGCTATTGTATTTTTCTGTTGGTGAATATGTGCATATTTTAACTGCTACAGTTACTGGTGCTTAATCTGTATAATTTACAGCATTTCTATAACATGAGATTATAACATTGTCTCTCATAAGAAAAAGATAATCTGGGTTTGACAAGCTTTTCTTCTTATGCTGGAATACAGCTAGCTGAAATTGCAAATTTAGCCTGTATTTCATGACTTTGGTGTTTAATTTATAGTGTAATGAGAAAGTGAAAGATGTACCCTGACAAATTTCTAGATACATACTGTCTCTTCTGGAACTTGTCTCTTAAAAATATAAAACCACAGATGTCATACACAAGTAATGAAATGAAATGCTACTACTCTTTTCTTTTTTTTGCAGTTTGTAAAGGAGATACTTCAGATATTTTAGACTAAAAGTCAGTAAGCTTTGCTTACGTAGCTGGCTCCATTCATTCTCTGAAGCCAGTCACTTCCTCTGTGGTGGCTGATAATTTAACAGCTTGAGAAGGTGGAGTGTCAGCACCTTTAGTACTAAACACATTCCCAGGCATATCAGTAGCCTCTGTCCATCACTCATGCTGGAAGCTATTTGGGAAAAGAGAAATAGAGAAAGGGAAATCATGTATCATCATCCCTACTGGAAAGTACAGAAGACTTTATGCTGTTTTCATCATGTGGATTCACTAGAGAAATGACCACCTTTGATCAACCAAGTAAAAAAACAAACTTGTTTATTTGTTGCCTGTGCCCACCACGGGTGCTAAGATTCTGGACTTGCAGGCGCCCGAGGACAAGGAGGAGTCTGTTAGTGGGCACTGCATGTGTGATCTACCTAGGGTTCCTTGTCAGTCTAGTGGGTCATGTTTTACCCCAGCACAAAGGAGGACACCAAAAGATCGGTTCCAGAAGTCTCCAAGATGCAGCCCAAACTCCTTTTCTGGGCATCCCACTGGATGGCACCCTGTCACCACCCAAATTCCAGGAACCCCAGCTTGGTAGCAATGGGACCTTGCCGCCACCCAATGTAGTTTACATCACCCTGCGGTCCAAGCGCAGCAAACCTGCCAACATCAGAGGCACTGTGAAGCCAAAGCGCAGGAAGAAACATGCGACTCCTTTGTCCTACGGGCAGCACTTTCCAAAAGCTGCTTATGGACAGCTGGGGCCAGCTACACGTGTCACAGGTGTAATGAGAGCAGCAATAGCTCTGGAGACAAGAAAGCACCAACTGGATGAAGACAGGCATAATGGAATGACAATCAGGGAGATGGGTCACCGGAGAACTGGAGGCATTTCTGGACCTATAAAGGCACAGCCCCAGTCTAAGGAAAGCAATATCAGGATCTACAGTGAGAGCTCTCCCTCTTGGCTGAGCAAAGACGACATCCTAAACATGCGCATGCTGGCAGATTCTCAGATAGACAGCATCCAAGAGGTACCTTCTCACAAAGCAGTCCTGGTGGTATTTGCAGGGGGTCCCAGCACCACAGGAACTGCTTGTAACCAGCGGCACTGTGGCATCATCAAAAGGCCTTTCGACATGAGTGAGGTGTTTGCCTTTCATTTGGATAGGATCTTGGGGCTGAACAGGAGCTTACCTTCTGTAAGCAGGAGATCGGACTTCTTCCAAGGTAACACGTTCCTTTGGTTTTCAGCTTGCAGGTGGGGTGCTGAGGTTTCCTTCTCCCGCCGCCCCTGTTAACCACAGGGCCGCAGCCACCTTCAGCTGCTGTGAGCCTGAGAACTAACACCATCATGACAGGGAAGTAAAGCTGGTATCTGTGCAATTTCTGCAGTGCAGTTATCCTGTTTGAAGGGAGCAGAGCCCCAAAGTTTAGATCAAATACCAGTGAGCTGCCAAGAGGCATAACAGTTTCTCTTCCACAAGTCTGGAATGAGAAAAAGGGGGAGTCACCGTAGAGTGCATGATGTTGTACAGACTGTCTCAAGTGAAACTGGTGAGAGAAATTCCAGAATACCCTGTGATTCGATGGCTATTTCTGATTTTTAAAAAATGTTTTCTCACCTTTTCAATTTGACTTGAATAAAATGTTGTTGAAAATGAGCACAAGAATTCAGCTGTTAGACAGATGGTAGGAAAGGAGGTTTGAATTTAGTCAGATAACCTACTCAGAGAGAGGCAGGGGAATTTCCTGCAGAAACTTGATGCTACTATCAAGGACTAATGCCTCTGGGAACTGAATTTTTTTTAAAAAGTGTTTTCCTCTTCCCTAGTAATAAAAAACCACAACAAAACAGCAAACCCACTACATTTCAGTGAATCCTACTGTACATTGAGATTCATTAGATATCTATATATTATGCAAATAAATATGCACCATAAATATATAATTGTCTGTTACATGATTGGTATGAGGTTTTAAATGAAAAATGGATTTTTATTCTTTAGTGAAATTGAAGATAGGTTTCAGACACAATTTAAATTAAAAGTAAGTTTACTTCTTACACTGCTATCTTGTTTAAGACATTTTAAGCCTAACTGCTATTTTTGAACAGTCACAAATCACAATCCTAAAGGACTACGTTGCATTTTAATGAATCATTGCTCAAGTGGCTAGCTATGTTTTTACTGTTCCTTTCTTGCTTCTGAAATTAGCTTATACTGAATATTTTTATATCAGACTGTTTTTTAAAAAAACAAAAGTAATGCAAGAATGACTTTCTAAAATCTGATAGCAGGAAGAGGACCCAGTGATCTCAGATTTCTTCCCACTTTGTAAACCTTCCTTTTGGCACCCTGTAAAACAATATGAATGAATCTTGAGGAACAACCGTTTGGAGGCTTCTGAATATTATTCATATTTGCAGAGCATGGAAGATACATTATGCCTACTTTATTTTTAGGATCAAGATTTATTGCTATAGAGCTGTCATAAGGCATTAAGGTAGTTTGGTTGGAGGAATCCTGCTCAGTGTGGCTGTGGAGATGATGGACTGCAAACCTCTGAAAATTGCTATTAGGCTAGTTGTGCATTGTGTTGCTCAGTGTCTGTCACCTTAAAGTGTATGTTGCACTGCCTGGGACAGAAAATGTCATTCTGCCCTCTTTTTCGTTTCCTCATAACTGGCCACGGTCCTCTAGCAAGAAGAGTGTTGCTAGGTGATGTGAAGAGAAATAACATTATTTTGGGCTCCCTTCATTTTTTCCAGCTAAAGGGTAAACAGAGCATTTGGAGCTGTTACTTTACCTTTTCTCTCTCCGTTTCTTTGGCTCAGAAATATGCTGGACCTCAGATGCCTAATATCTACCTGAGCTCATTATTATTTACATGTTTGTGTTTGGCATAATCTGAAAAACATCTGTGTTGAGAAAAAGAGCAAAAATGTAATATTCTTAAAAACATTAACAGTTAGTGAGCTAATTTCTATAACCCATATGCATTTAATTTAATATTAGGTAGGCACTATAAAGTCTTTTTACAGGGCAACTTTTGTGAATCAGAGTTATTCATATGGCAAAGAAAGCAATGCAGGATTAGAGACTGGACATGTATGTATAAATGTACACAATTTCTGGGCTTACATCTCTCTGTCTCTGCGACACATCTCTTTAGCTTGCCTCAGTTGTGATCTGATGCAACCAGACATGTTTGATGTAGCATTCAAATCTTAAAAAAAATGGGCTTTTCAAAACTGTCATTCATGTTGTCAAAAGCTGTTTCAAAGAACTGCTTAGTAAATCCCTGTATAGGTTCTGCTTCCTCTACTCCCACAAATCCTCCACTGATACATTCATGTTTTGAAGTCTAGAAAAATACTGTCTGCAAGTCCTCTATCTGCTGCCCATACCTTTCCTGGTTAACTGTATAACCTTTAAAGCTGAGATTTTTTGAAATGGTTTATCTTATTTTTCCATCTTGGATGGAAGAATCAGTTATGATAACTATTTCTCTCATTTTGCAATTAATTGTTCAAACCAAAAACCTAGGGAGTACAGGTGAGCAAAGTCCTTTTGACTTCAGTGTTACAGATCTAAAAGCATGACTCTGGGCCAGAGGCAAGCACTCATTTATTACTCCCATTGCTACCTACAAGGTATGAAAATTGTTGAGAGATCTAAAATGTCTATAAACAAAGAAGGATAAACCTGTAAAAAACCCAAATAATCATAAAACTGTCTGTTGTGGAGAAAATGGAGGCTGACCCTGGTGTGTCCAAGTTTTGGGATGGTTACATTAATACCACAGGACTGAGAATCTTCATTATTTGATCACCTTGAGAAACAGACAAGACCTAAGTGACCTCGCCTAGTGTTAGTCCTACCTTAATTCATTTGCATAAAATCTAAGTAAAATAACTGCACACATTGCTTCCAGCTCAGCAACAGCATTTGCAGGGTAGGATGATCCCAGTGCATGTTAGGACTTGAGCTACAACTGGAGCAAGCTTGGTCCTGTGTTGCAGCTGACAGCTGTAGGAATAGGACTCTGGCAGAGTTCTTTACTCAGCTTTTGGTTCAAAATACACAGCTATTGCTATGTGCTTTCATTGCACCACTGGCTGAGAGGACCTGAACTGCTGCATGCTGACAACCACCCTCTTCCCCCTTGTTTTCAAACATAAGTTTGGCTAAATGTTTTATCCTCTGTTGAGAAGAATAAGCCCAAGTGTACTCAATTCAATTGGGCTTTTTTCAGCTAAAATTATTTTTAGCTAAAAATAGATACATACTATTTATCCAGAACCACTTCTCTACCCCCTCCCACCCCAACATGCAAAAAACTCTTCCTTTAAATAACACCTTTCATGGTTGGCTTAGTGCAAATAAATGAATGACATGTGATAGATAGCTCCACTGGTCATACTTGCCATTTTGTTTTACTGGACTCTACATGATGATAAATGGAACCACAGGTTTTTCCATGTTACACCCTGCACTATCAATCTGTCCTTGCCATCCCACCAAAAGTCATGCAAAAGCAGGCAAAGATGTTATGAATTGCTGTCAGGGCAAATGCTGCCTTATGCATTCAGGATGCTTTAAAAGGCTTCAATTTATCTGACCTTTTTTGTCTATCAATCCAAACAACTTACACCATAGTGTTGTACCTCTCAAAGGGGTACCAGAGGGCATATTTCCAATGTTTTGGTGGGTAGAGAAGTACATTTCTAAGCAATTATGCAGTCCATAATCTAGAGAGAAACTGATGTACATTTTATGCATTCCTTAATTTCGATATTCATATGAGCACAGAACAGAAACAGTTCAAATACAGTGCAGAGGGAAGAAAGAAAAGTGGCCTAACATCTCTCTGCTTCTGTCCCCTAAAGGTTCCCTCAGAATTTAAACTCTCAAATTCAAGTAATATTCTGTATGTCAGTCCCTCTCAACTTTCCACACTACATTACCTTTTCTTGCTAATATGTGGGCAACTAAACTGCTTTTCAAATGTGACAGTGTTAAACTATACTGCTTTATAGTAACAACAGGGAGTCTGAGAAAGGGCTTTAAGTGAAATATTTGATCTTTTTAGTCACATTTATTAGAAAATATTTTATTTTGAGGAAGGAATAAAAATTGCTGTAGATACAAGTTAGAGGACAAGATGGAAGAATATCCTTGCAAGTATTTGCAAGAATGTGGTTAAGAAGGACAGACACTATTTCCAAAGTGATGTGATGCATGGATATCTAAGTTGATGCCCGTGTTGAAGAAGACATGCAGTGATACATTGTCTCACTGCACATGAAGCAGTTTGAATGCCTTTAGGTAGTCTAGTCTCAGCAGCCTGAGGTTTCACCTGTGCTAATTTATTAAAATTAGGATATCCTGAACCAGTAGCTCCTAAGGGCCTAAGAGATTTTTAGAAATATTTTGATGTTTCAAAATCTAGATGAATTGCTCAGAAGATGGATCCAACATGAGTTTTAAAAAATCTTTCCCATACAATATTGCAGATAATCCTTAGATAGTCAAGTAGGTGTATTGATTAAAAATGGCAGCTGAAAAAAAAGTGAGCTCTGGGCAAGATTCAGTGCAATGCAGCTGCAGCAAAAGAAAAGTAGTAGCCCTTTGTGTTAGTATATAAAGCTGATTAGAAGTGAATGCAGAGCTCGCTGGACTTATTCTGGTGTGGTCAACCTCCTCAGTTTTGGCTGTATCAAACTGGAAGATTGGATTCTTAGCCAAGACTTGCTTTTCAACATTTAGTTAGATTCAGCCCTACCCTTACAAGGTTTGAATCAGAAAAGTGCCACTGATTTCAGTGGGGTCATGCCAATTCATCCAGTAATTAATCAGACTCCTTATCTGCTTTAATTCAGCCTCTTCATGTTTTTCCTGCATGTGTCAAAAATTTGACTCACTGCTTCTTACTGAAGCTGCTGTTTAATATTCCTGTAATTCAATTTATATTACAGGGTTGAAAGATTTTATTTTGGCTCATCTTTTCTGCTCCCATTTCCTCTGAAATGCAAACATTTCCTGTATTTAGTCTTGGTCTTTTAAATAATGTTTTTTTATATCTTAATGGAAACTTGCAAGATAATATTTTTCAAGTATTTATATTACTGTTGTTTATCATGTCTCTTTTGGGTAGACAGGAGATGTTTGTTTTGTTAGAAGACTGTTTATGTATTTGGTTTCTGGAAGAATTCATTACATAAGCTGTTACTAGAGGTATAAAAATAATAGATCAGACTGAGTCCTGAAGAAAGCTGCCCTTTTATGAAAATTCCCAATGCTTATATAGACTTTCTCCAACAGGCCTGGAAAAGAAGCTTAGCTGATAGCTGACCTGACTTGGTAAAGTAATCTACAATGTTGGTGATGGAGACAGAGCATGAGAGATGGGGAAGTGGCTAGGATTTCCCCAGTTAAATTTCCAAGTACTTATTCAGACACCTCAGTAGAAGATAACCCTGATTTTCAGGAGTGCTCAGGACTGTTTTTCCAACAGAGGAAAGTATGGAGCTGATAAAGGTAGTGCTGATCCTAGTGAAAGGGAGATATTGATTATGTTAATGGAAAGGCACTTTCTGTAGTCCTAAGGAAACAATAAGCAACTGGGAGGGAAGTTAAAGAGGTGGTAGAGCTGCACATGGTTGGTTTAGGGACTAGCTTGTATGTGCAAGCTATGGTAGAGAAGATCAAATACATTCTGGTTTTGGAGAGTGGATCTTCATATATGATACACTGCTAAGTATGAGCAAAGATAATTCTTACCTGTTGTTTTAGATCAATTGGCATCCTTTGAACAAGTTGCTTTTCAATTCAGCTGTATGGAGAACTATTTTTAACAGCTCTTGCTGCTTACAGATGGAGCATTCAAGTTAGCAGCTTTTACGTTGCCTTTGACACTGATCCTGGTTTTCTGTGCCCTGTTCTCTGTCTGCATTGCCAATGGAGTAGGTGCCATGGATTTCATTGCCTTCTTGCGAATTTCTGGAAGTCTTTTTTCAGATGCATCCCTGACTCTATGGGCCTGTGGAAGACAGAGTTTAGGCTGAATTTAACTATGCAATAAATAGTGTGGACTTTAATATCATTGACCTAGAGGGGCAGAATCCCCTCCCTGGCCCTGCTGTCCACACTTCTTTTGATGCAGCCCAGGATGCAGTTGCTCTCTGGGCTCCAGCACACACTAGCAGCTCATGCTGAGCTTCTCATCAACTACCACCTGCAAATCTTTCTTCTCGGGACTGCTCTCTAGCCATTCTCCCCCCAGCCTGTATTTGTGCCTGGGTAAAAACCCCCATTATGTCAAGGTGCTAAGCTCACACTCTTTAGTGTTCTCATAGAATTTCAGAGCTGTGAAATCATATATTATAGGCCTAAAATACTAAAGATAACAAAATAAGTTTACTTTGAATATAGGATTCTTAGTATTTCTATGCCCATTATGCAGAAAAAGTACTTTGATGTAAGTTTTCACCTCTTGTAAATCATCATCAGTTGACTGGCATCAGAGGGAAAGTATATAATTGGTTCCCAGTGGCATTGTAGACTCTTAATCTACCTATAAACTTTTTAATAGTCTATTTTAAAATATTCATTTGTACATCAATATTTTGCTTCAAACAGAGAAAGCCTTCTGTACACTGGAGGCATTTATAATGTCCATGCTTCTTCCATTCCTGCAGTGCCTCGTTTTAGATGTGGAATAACACCACATTAACCAAAGGATGTCAGGTTATTAGTCCCTGGCTGGTTTTCCTGCCCCATCTGTGAAATGGTATAATTATTGATGTGAAGGCAATGTCTAAAGAATGATCAAGTAGGTCTGACAGTATTGTAGCATACCAATGACCTGTTTTTCCTTTTCAGATGGTCAAGCATGTCCTGTTATTCTCTGGGATTCCTCACTGAGTCCAACAGATAATAATACCCATTCTTCAGTGAGACTAACTTGGGGGAAGTATCAGCAGCTATTGAAGCAGAAGTGCTGGCAGAATGGTAAAGTTCCCAAAGCTGAGTGGGGCTGTACTGAAATCCATCATCATGAGTGGTCCAAGATGGCACTTTTTGATTTTCTTCTGCAGGTAAAACATTTACTGAATGCAACTACCTGCCTCAAAAGTCATGTAAACACACAAGGGACTCCGAAAAAGTAATTTTAGCTTATTTCCTTTTTTTAAATGGGGAAGAGTTGTATTTGCACAGTTTGAACTTGTTTGTGGTTGTTTCTTATGATTGAAATATCAAAAAAGTTACTTCTAACCAGGGGTGATCTAAGTGGTTTTGGTCAGCTGAAAAATGGATCAAGATAACAACTGTAGTGCCTAATTTTCCTTCTTTTTAAAAACTTAGCACATGACTTAGTAAGGAAATAGTAGAACAGCAACTGATGAATGACACAGTTGCTGTTCTGTCAATAGGTATTGCACATAATAATTAGCTCTCCAAATAAGACCAAGCTAGGGCTCTGTTCAGTGGTATCACAATGTGTGACTACAGTTACAGTAACTGTGTAGCAGAATATTAATACACACCCTGTATTAATAAGAACTGAAGCACCTGGTTGGATGCCAATTTGGTCTTCCTGAGATCTGGCACTACTTTCAATTGTCCTCGCCTATCAGAGAAGTGGGGGTGACTGAGTGTCCTGCAGCACTCACTGATTTATCTAAAACTACAGCAAGCTCTAATTTTATGCATTGTGTTTGGCTGTTCATATAATACAGCTTCTTAGAGTTACATTTCTTGAAATACAAAAATAATGAACTGATTTATGTATAGTCTATCCGTGTCCTTCTCAGTCACGCTCTGGGATTAACAGATATTTCCAATTTTTTGAGTTATATTTTTGCATACACATTAAGGAGAGGATTAAATTCTTTTCTAAAAATATATCACTTGTCTAATGACTATCTTTAGTCTTATATGAGCAAGTAAGTCTTAGAAATGGTTAAAAACAACCTATATGTGGATTATTTTGATGCTAAACATAGTAATGCCCTCAAAGGAACAGTGCAGTAAAAGTCAATGGTTTCATGTCATTGTCTAATAGAACAGTTTTAAATTTCTCATGAGTTCTGTGTCAATGTCTAATTTTAAGGTCTTCGTAATAGAACTCCTATTATCCAAAAGGTCAGGTCAGTTAAGATACAACAGGTTTGAACAATACATGAAATAAAGAAACAAATTATTCTTATAATAGTAGCTGGTAGCAAAGTGATTCATATCTCCAGTTGCCTACCAGAAAATGAGTGGAAGTGGGTCTTATGGGTCTTAAAGACAAAATTTTATCTGGGTGCTCCCAGACTTGACTTTAAAGTTTATCAGCAGTAAACTATGAATACTCTAAAAATAAAAATTGCCAAGGTGACACCCTATGCTTCTTGAGTTACTCAGAAATAAAGAATAATGGTGAAAAGTATTCTCTATTAAACATACTTCCTTCAGAAAAATGGGCTTGGTGCCTATAATAGATGTTCCTAATCTCTGTTTCACAATGCTGTAAAACATAGAAGCAGGCTGAAAAATGCTTATAGATGACCTTCACTTGCCTTCTGCAAGAACTCAAATAAAATAAGGACATGAAATGTAAAATGGCTTTTCTTGATTTGGGGAGTTCAGAACTTTCATGTGTATGAGTATATGACAAAAAACAATGCTAAACTACTAAGGTTGCAGCATCAGTTCTAAAATGCCCCATCACTCTGTCTTAGCACTGAAATAATGCAAAATATTATGCATAGGCCATCTATAAGACCATGATCACCTTGTCTATTTAATCCATGTAGTGAAGTGTGGTGCAGATGAATTGGGGCTATACCTCAAAGGAGTCTGTCTGGAAGGCCTCTGCTTCATTTTTTTGGCAAAGCCTTTGGATGATTTGAGTAAGAGATCCCATGAGCCAGAACACTGCAAGCAAGAGGGACCCTAGTGCCTGCTGGTGCTGAGTGCTGCTCATGAAAGGAGAAATTTTACTGGACTGTCACAAAAATAAAGTTGTAATTTTAGAAGGCTTATGTGAACATGAATGCTTTTATACTTAGAGCAGGATGAAGAGTTAGCAGCATACAATAAACAATGACATAAAAAATTATTTACCTTTGCTAAGCTGTTCACTAAGCCTTAGATACACCAGGCTAGACTTGCACTTGTCAGCAGGAGCAAGGCTGCTCCCCAGGGAGAGGAGCTGGAAGCAAGGGCAGCCCCATGGCAGGCAGGGAAGGCAGTCCAGGAAGGATGGTTAAAAGCCACAAGTCCTGTGCCTTCCGAGCATCAGGCACAGATGCAGCAGCAAGCCAGCTTCAAGGGCAACAAGCAAGAACCACAAGCAGGAACCCCAGTCAGGAATCCAGAAACAGCAGGCAGCAAGACAAGCAGCCTTGAAGGGCTCAAATGAGAGCTGAAGGGCCCAGCCTGAGCTTAATAAGGGCTCCTGGGCCTATGGGCAGAGGGGGTGTGTGTGGAGGTCCCAGGTGAGGGTGCTTAGGGCAATTCAGGCCTCTGGGCACTCAGAGCCCTGGCAAAGTTGTTTTACTCTCATCTAAGACAACAGAGGTAGAAACATTTTCACTGAATGATTTATCCTTCCTGTCTTAGATGGTTATCCTAAAATGGCATCTTTTGCTCTGGGGTTGCCTCGATCTTGCCATTGTTTATGAAAGTGAACATAAACAACTAAGTCAAAAGAGATGCTTAACATTTACACCACTGAAGTCAGACCGGTTGTACTCCTTCCAGTAAAGTGCTGTGTGATGAATAAGCAAGGGTTCACACTGGAAAACACAGCCTAGACCATCACGTCGTTAAAGTATGTTCCACAGTGCAACTCAAGGAGGCTGCTCTGTGATTATAAATGCTCTCTTAATAGCTTGCATTTTGCAGCTTCTGATGGTTTGCAGTGGCCCTTACTAACCTTTTAAATTATTTTGCACACTATTAGTCTAAAAGGTCCCACAAAATGGAGACCCTCTGTGTGTGTCAGGCTGTGCTATTTCTATTGTTCTGCCACAGAGAAAGTATAAAAAACCTACAGTCTTCTGAAAAAAATGGAATTGTATTCACCATCTCATTATTCCAGTTACACAGTGGTATTTTTCCCTGGCTTTCAAAGAATTTTTACTGACATAACAAATTGTGGCTATAAAATGGATAAAATATGCAGTCTGTGACATTACTTCTAACACTACAACCAGTATGGGGACCAGGTCTTCAATGCCATTTCACTACTGAGTGCAATTATACTTGTCCTGAGTTTGCTTTGCTTTCAGCTGTGTTAGCAAGTGATGTTTTAAAGTGACACTTTGCCCCAAATGCTTTGATATTGTTTTCACTTGGCATTCTGCTGTGCTTTGTCTTAGATCTATAATCGATTAGACAGAAACTGCTGTGGATTCAAACCACTCAAAGAGGATTCCTGTGTGCAGCAAGGACTGAAGCTGAAATGCGGTGATCAGGATTCTGTTGACCTGACACACATAGTTCAGAGAAGGCACGACCGAAGGCATTTGGCCTTTATAGACAATAAGGGTTTCTTTGACAGAAATGAGGACAATCTTGACTTCAAAATACTACAAGGAATCAATGAGTAAGTTTTAAGTTATTAATTTCATAAAAACGAATAATTTCTTCTGAGTTAGAGCATGAGACACTAAATTACTGGAGTAGGTATCACTGGCCCAAGACAGGATGTGTCTAAAAATGTGTGAGCAATCCCACTGCTGTAGAAGATACAATTAACATGCATATGATTAGGCATGGATGGACTTTGTTGAGTTGCAGTCTATATTCATAGAATAGATTGCTAAACTACAACATTGCAATTTGGAGTGACGGCAAAGCTAATTAATTTATTTGTGTTTTTTTTGAGATTCCCTGAATCTGCAGTTTCAGTGCTGAGGAGCCAGCGTTTACGTGAGAAGTTGCTTCAGTCTTTGTTCCTTGACAAAATATACTGGGAGAGCCAAGGAGGCAGAAAAGGAATTGAAAAGCTTATTGATGTAATAGAAAGGAGGTCCAAAATTCTTCTTACTTATATAAATGCACATGGAGCCAAAGTATTACCCATGAATGAATGAAGCAGTCTTGCTTCTAATTGACAGTCTTTAAAAAATTTTGTATGAGGCAAAAACTGACAGTAAAATTAATTTAATTCATAGGCTTATTTAATTTTTTTCCAGTTTCAGGTTTATTTTTAAATAAGAACTCTTACAGGTTTAAAAGCATCATTTAAATGTCAGCTGCAGCTCAACACAGTGCAGTTGTTTCTATGTCACCAGTGAAATTAAATGAAAAATAAACAAATGGTACAATAAATAATGCAGTAATTTGTAGGTACCATGAATATTCCCTCTATTAAACTGTTTGAAGATTAGCAACAGGATTTTCAGTACATTAGGCTGGATTACTCTTACTTCTCTCATTCAAGTAAGTAAAAGTTTTATGACAAGTTTAAATGGGAACAGAGATTTGTAAGCACTTAATACACTGATGAAAGCTACCATCGCATCTCCCTGCTGAAAAATATCTAGTACAGGAATTTATCTTTTTGATCATGAAAACTAAACCAGCAACATTTCCAAAAGTTTATTACGTTTTATTTTATTTTGATCTTTTGAAATCTGAGAACTAAATTCAGGTCTTTTAAATACTGAGGTATTTACACAGGACACGGAGGAAATTTAAAAACAGAGTGAGGAGAACGTGGTTTTAACAATAAGAATTTCTTTGATAAATACAGTTGTTACCTGTTCAGTATGGAGTACAATTTGTCATGAGACACTTGTCACAACGTGTTACATTTTCAGTGCTTGTTTTGATGTGTGGGCGGATGTTTGGATATTTTCTATCTATTGATTAACTGTGTGTTACTCACGGAATTGTCCTTTTTTACCACTTGCTTTTAAAAAGAAATTCAGTTTTAGCTTTGTGTGAATATGCTGCTAAATAAGTGTACACATTTTGTTTTTGCAGCATTCTTGACAGTATTTCTTTAGAATATTTTTTAAAAGCAGACCTACTAAGGAAGTGAATGTTCACAAAGTCAGTACAGAAAACATTTGTGCTGTGTGCTCAGCACCACCCAGCAGTTCAGGCTCTGGTTTTCCATTAAGATTGACCACTGCAGGGTATGGATTTGAGCTGACAAGTATTCCTACAGGTAAGGTTAGAGAAGGCTGGATAAGCACTTCATCTGTTCCAGCAACAAATTAACAACTGATATATCTGTCATGATGTACACCTTTTGCCTACCTGTTTAGAAAAGGCTCTTTTCATCTTCCTGCAGAAATATCTATAATCTTCTTGCCATGAGATACTTTCATAGCTACTCTTGTCTTTATGTATAGTAAAAAATATAGGGTATATAAGATTTTAAAATATTTTTGAAGGTGCTTGTGTAATGGTTTTGTTCCTTATTATGAGAAACTAAAATGTGTCATTTCAATGTTAATGTAGATAGGTGAATTTAATGTTTTAAATAACTGAAACTCCATTGCAGCTAAACCAAATTTTCTTTCATGGTATCAGAAGAGCTTTTAACAGTAATTGCTTTACTAAAAGAAATAAATATCAGTATAGGCAGAATTAAAGATGCTTAGTAAAATTTTAAGAGCTTGGCCATCTAAATAGTCTTTTATTTTATTTTATTCTGTCAGCAAAGGACAGACACATTTGTAAAAACTTCCTATAACTTAACTTTTACTTTAAGAGTACATGTTTTAAAGTGCCTTGAGCTTTTTAATTGCACCAAAGGAGAATTAGGGATTTTAATATTATCCCGTTCTTAAAATGTTTTAACTTATTAGCCAGGTAATTTCTGTCACAGAAACAAAAATATTACTGTAGCTTGCACTGTGCACAAAGCCTAGAGAAAGAAATAATTCTCTGGCTCCATTTCATGTGGAATTCCTGTTGCAGTAAATTCCACTGTTTGTTGACTGTCATCAGTTTGTCTCATTTTCTGGCCTATCTCACAGTTTTCTTCCTGCTAGATATCTGTTCAAATGGATTACCACACACTGCTGAGAGTGAGAGAAAGGCAAAACTCTGAGCTACACTGAACTTAGAAGAGGGCCAAGTGACATACAAGAGTGTATCTGATAATGAAAAATAGTCCCATGAGAACTCTGTCTTCTAGCTTCTCTTCTGTCTTTAGAGTGCGCATCCTGAAGCCAAGTCATTGCCTCAAATTGCCCAGTTGGTTTTTCCAGAATTGACTCATTGTCCACTAAGAGAAAGAAATCAGAAGACAGGATTTTTTTTATCTTTTCAGGCTAGGTAATTTATTTTTATGGTGATAACTTGATGCATTCTTCTCCATTTCTTCTGGGCGTGGACTAGTGCTTCCTTGAGCATGATACATGTGTTTTTTTTATTTGTCTGACAGTTCAATGCCAGCTCTTGAAGCAGGAACGTAATTGCCAACTAATAAGTAATTCCCCTGAAGCTGACCCAGAGCAATGCCTCTCAGTAGCCCTGAATTTAAGAGATCCAAGTAGCCATGATGCCGTGCAGTACTTTAAAATGTGACCAAGCATGAAAAGCACTGTTGTAAAGAACAGGACTTCTGCAAATCCTGCAAATGAATGTTCTTTGGAAATGAACGGTGTTTTTTACTAGTTGTTTTGGTGGCAGAGGCATATAGATCAAGTTGCAATTGGAGCTAATCTGCAGGATGAAGCAATATTTACACTGATGTAAATTGTACACTGAAAGTACAAGGGGACAGGTGTATCTCCCTGTGCTGTCCAGTATGGACCGGACAGGCACATAAAGACACTGTCTTCTCAGAACTGCTGCAGGGGCAGGTGAGTCCAGAGCAAATGGCGAAGGCAGACTGAGCTGTGCCATTACTGCACACATTACACTTCACAAGGGTAAAAGAATTTTTCCTTCTCTGAAGCTCTACATTTGAGTCTAGGGCAGGGCATTCCGCATCCTACTCTCACCTGACAATGGTGCCTTAGCATTATGCTGTGGAGAGCTGGAGGCCTTGCTTTCTGTGCTATGTTAACGTGACATATTTCTCATGCATACAAACACTTTTAAAAGTCTTGAAAGAAGTCAGGAGAGGCTTTGTGAGATTCTATACTTTTTGAGTGGATTTGTATAAATGCTCCAGTAAAAAAATACAAAAGAAGCACTTTGCAGAGCTTGTTAGTTTGCTGCTACTACATTCAAGATATCTACTCCCCCTTCAGTGACAGAAGGAAAGCTTCTTGGGAAATCAGTCCACTTCCTTTTAAAACAGCATGACATTGGACTGACATTCCTGCACTGTAATATAAGTAATACTAACCAATAGGAAAAGTTCCAAAGAAGCTTTACTTTACCTATGGTGATGATAGACAGAAAGCCAAGAAACTGCATTTTAGTAATCTTTGCTGGACTGTCTTCCATTTATGGGCATATGGGATCCGACAGACATTCATATTGCACATTACTCGGAAGGGTGTAACCAAAGGCAACAGTCCAAAAGCCGGGGGTGGGAAAAGACAATTATGTCATTCTTGAGTCTGCCTGAAAGACAGAACCACATGAAATGGAATTACTAAGAAAGTCAAGAGAGTTCGCTGATTTCATAACATTGGAAGACTGAGCTTAAAATAAGTAGTACAAGCACAGATGCCTTAAAATTCCTCTGAAGCCTGCCAGAAGTTAATAAACTTGAGTGTTTCAGAAGCTGAGGACATGAAAACTTTAGTGAAGCACTGTGAGAGCAGTTTCCTTCTTTTTTTTGCTGTGTGTATTTTATAATACATGATATAGAAAAGCGATACATTTCGAAAGAGCAAATACAGATTTAGGGCACATTAAGGGACAAGCTTCCAGTAGTAATTCTGGGAACACTTCTTTGCATGTGTGTCTGCAAACATGAACATACATGTGTATGTATATATAACTTGGCTTGTTTCTATAAAATGGTCAGTTTGGCTAGTAAGGAGTTGTTTATATGATTTGCTGTTTACATGTAGAATTGTATTTGTGAGCATTAACTCCAGTTTTGAATATACACAAGTTGAAGTTTAAGCAAAACATTATTATGGATGAAACTTTTGTTCTCAAAGGATTAACTCTCCTCTTGCTAACACATTTCTATGACCTTAAAAGATTTTTGCTAACGGTCAACTTATTTGTCCTTTTATTAATAAAAGTTCAAGTGTTATCACAAATAATGAATTGTTTGAATCTCTGCTGCTGTTGTCATATAATGTCCAAGGATATACTAAATAAAATAATATCTTAATCAGATTTTCAGTTCAGATCTCTAAGTTGCAGTAATGAAGCTGTAATATGTATTAATGTAATATGTGGATCATTAGTTACTGTTTAGAAAGAACTATGGCCTTGAAACTGCTTCTTCAGAGAAACAATCCAATCCAGGTGATGAAGCTCTCCTGTGAAAATATTTTTTAGCTGTTGACTCGTAAGACTTATAACTCCTACTAAGATGATTCTCTGTAGCTGTGGAGCTTCTGATGACTGCAGCGTTAGTATTTCCTGCCTTCTTTAGACATTCTGACAAGGCCTAGTTATACAAACCTTGAGCAGAAAAGGCCATACCCATTTATGATGCCAGAACAGAACTATTGGTCACTGAGTGGTAAACTTTATAATAGACCATGAGCAAGTACAGGAATAGGAGAAAGACACCAACCTCTACTTGGAACAGCGACTCACACAGAGTTAAAGTGGCCTAAGAACTTTTGGTCTCTGGAGTTTACATTTTTTCCATGATCCAAGAGAGAGTAATGGGAAACACAAAGATGTTGAAACATTTTTAAATCTTCTCTTCCTCACACAAAATAATTCTATTTGTTTTATTTAAAACATTATTTATTTTTGCACATTACTGCTTACTTCAGGCTAAATAATTCCAAATACATTTGTGTAAATTCATTACAATTCCACCAAATTATCTCATTTCCTGATAAAACAGTTTAAGTCAATGAGGTTACTCTTTGTTCTCAGAAGGTGGAGAACTGAACCCTAAGGTCAAAAGGAGATGTTAGGAGAGTGACAAGAAGGAGAGTTGCCTGAGATAGAACATGGATACAGAACTTGGCATACAAGTTCTCAAACCAAGTATCTGTGGGCTACAAGCAGGATGTACAAGTTTTCTTTGGAGACTGCCAGCCTGTTTCACCTGTATTTCTGTGGGAAACCCTCACCTATCCAAATACAAGCATTTGAAATAAAAAAATAAAATA